GTAAAGTACAGATACTCAAAAAGTGTACTTAAGTACAATACTCAAGTAAATGTACTTAGTTACTGTCCGCCTCTGATAAACGCTTATGCTTTTTTTATTTGAAGTGCTTTTAAATATAAAGCATTGTCATGTTTCAGACAACTTCAGCTAACTTCTGCAAGATCAGCTAATGATCGCTATCAGCTGATAATTGCCTCTAATTATTGGATCGGTGATCTCTCAATTTGCCAATCTCAGAAACCAATCTCATGTAAAAGATGCGCGTCTGTGAAGTGTTTGGCATGGCATGCAACAGTGCAGTCTCAATCTGTTTTTTATAAGTTTGATTACTTTGTTTCTTATTCTTATTTTATCTGACTGTTTGCACATCTTTAGTGAGCTTGCGTTGAGTATATCTCTTCAGGAAAACTGATCAAGGAAACATAGATCTAGAGCACCACCTAGTGGCCATTATATAAAACACAAAGGAACTTACCCTTCATGCGATATTGCTTAACTTAAAATATACAAAAGCTTAACAGAAAGTATTCTGGGTCAATATCACCATAGAGTGCCTTTCAACCCTCAAAATACTCAAAAATGTTGGTTTTAATTTCCCATTCGCTTTATGTCATATCATAAATAGTAGACACTCAAGTATTATAGAAACATATTAGCTGAGCTCCCACACATTTTTTTTTTAGATAATTATTGGCCATTATTCAAAGCATAAACCATAAGATATGTCATGGACATATATATTACTGTTAAATTTGAAGCATAAACCATAAGATATGTCCACCGTCATGGACATATATATTACTGTTAAATACATTTTCATTGCTAAATTAAGATGCAAATTATATTTTCTGAAAGGTATGATGTCCCTCTCCTAAACAGGGATATTAAATAATAATAATAATAATAATAAATAATAATATAATTACATCCTCATTCATATTGATATACCCCCCCCCCATTCATTTTAGTTTTTAGCAATATTAACTACAAATGAATGCAATGTCCACCCTGTCATGTGTATGTCCACTCTATCGAGTCCAAGTGGCCGACAGGGTGGACATTTTGAGCTTCAATTTGCATATTAGCTTACAACAAACTGTGACTAACTAAATATTTAGTCTGGTTGTTGAAGAGAATTTGGTATGTTTAAACTTACATATTTTGACAATACTGTATTCGAATCACTTCTGGCATATTTTATGCCGACAGGGTGGACATGTTAAGCTTTGGCAAAGCAAGTAAGCAAACTCATACGAAGAAAATTTGTCAACTGAAAAGTCACCAACTTGCTCACCTCAACCGTTGAAATTCCCGCCACTGAAGAGACAAAAAAATCTGTTGGCCTGATGTCACTAAAGGGGATGGCCTTTTCTTAAAGGGGCGAATTCCCCAATATGACAGGGTGGACAACCATTCAAGGGACATGGACAAACTCTTCTTTTTTATTAAATAAAAATATAGTTTTTATTACCAAATGATCAATATACTAAAATTGAGTAATCTTTTATTTAACAAAATATTAATAGGAGACTTCTTTTATTTTATTTTATGATTTGACAATATTCTACTATCATTCAAATTTAAAGGGTTAGTTCACCCAAAAATTTTAATTAGCCCGTGTTTTACTCACCCTCGAAGCATCCTAGGTGTATATGACTTTCACCTTTCAGACGAATGCAGTTGTAGTTATATTAAAAATTGTCCCAGTTCCAAGCTCTATCATTGCAGTCAGCAGGTGTTGCAGTTGAACAGTCCACAAGTCCGTCAAATAAAGTG